ACCCAGAGCCATATTGGATATTAGGATTTATGACTAAAAGCTTGGTCATAGCTTCAGAACAAATAGAAGCAAATAAACCTCAGGGTGATTACCATCCAATGTTTCCCTCAGCTTGCAAATCAGCATAGTCCATAGTGAGTGTCATTTAGAAGGTGCACCACAGTTAGAAGTGCACACTTGTGCACAGAATGGTTGAAACCAAGAGAGGTTTGATAGTAAAAACCGAAAGAACTGCAGATGCTGTGAATCAGGAACAAAAACAAAGTTGCTGGAAAAGCTCAGCAAGTCTGGCAGCATCTGTGAAGGAAAAAACAGAATTGGCGTTTTGGGTCCAGTGACCCTTCTTCAGAACGTGAGGAATGTGAGGTTTGATAGTTTCCCTGATAACTCAACTGGCTGAAACTTGGAGGGCATAGGTATCAGACTATGCTTCAGTAGATGATGAGAAAATCATTATATGGGAGTAACCTACCTGACCTCATCCCCACCTGTCCCAGGTGCATCTATTCATGGAACATTTGGTGTGAGTATCCATCAGACAGTTCTGTTATGACCCAAACTTATTTTCACACTGAAGATGTTACCCGTATAGTAATAGAGAATAGCAGCAGCAGATTTTTTCAAGTACTTTATTTTAACAGAAAAGAAAGAGAATAAGATATAAATATAGAAGGAAACCAAAACTAAATTGAGGAGAGGCACTTATTCTGTTCAATAATAGAAGAGGAAATAGTAGTATAGAAAACAACAGGACTGTAAACAGATATTCAGGACCTGTTAGTGTCCATGCAAAGTGATGAAAATAAATGGGTGAAGGAATTATAGAAACATTATTTGCAATCTGTCAAAGCTCAAATGCATTCCATTATTTACAAATAGGATGAGAGGGAAGCCAGCTAGTCAGTTTTGAAATCTGTTATTAGGGATATAGTGACTGTTCTGAAACTATGACCAAGATTTTAGTCGTCTATCCTAATATCCTGTATGGCTCTGGATAGTGATTCTGTGAAATATAGAGCAGGCCACAGAGAACCAGTGTAGCTTTACTAAGGTTAATTGTTATTTGACTAACCTATTTGAGTTATGTGAGGAAATCACTAATGAGGCTGATGAAGGAGAGACCATGGACCTTCCCAGAAGGCATCAATTAGGTTCCACGCAAAGGGCTGAATTTAACATTTGTTTTGTTAAGTGTGAATTACATTGAGCGTTTTGGAAGGATTCTTACTATGAAGCCCAATAACATTTCTTATCAAACATGGCTTATTGATACCCCACCCCTATGGTGTCCCTCATGTCTGATTTTATCCCATCTTAACACACATTGTTCCAAGAAACAACCCATGACTTAGCAGAGATTCATCATAAAATTGGCATTTCTTGCGCCCATGCCATCTTTGAAAGGTTGCTCTGCATCTGGTCAAGCATTGGCAATTCAGAGTTGCCCCTCACCAACAGTGTAATGGCATAGCAGCCATAAAACCACACTGTTGTAGGCACATGACTGCATGGCTGACACGCCCTCGCACATCAAATCCCATTCTCTCATCCTAATCGCTGTTTAACCGCCACACCACACAGAATACCTATCCTTAACTACATTCCGTCTCAACACCTTCTCTAAACCACCACTACTCTGTCCGCAATGTCTACCAGACACTTGCATCTTGTCATTATCCAGTAGGGAAATATCACAGACAAGCAGTTGGGCAAGTCAAAACATGAGCTTTCATTGACAACAGTAAAATGGATCAACAAAGGAAGATGGTCGTGGTTGTTGGAGGTCAGTCATCTCAGCTCCAGGATTGCTGTGCAGGCGTTCCTCAGGGTAGTGTCCTAAGCCCAATCATTTCCAACTGCTTCATCAATGACCTTCCATCCATCATAAGGTCAGAAGTGGGGATGCTTGCCAATGATTGCACAATGTTCAACACCACTCATGACTCCTCAGGTACTGAAGCAGTCCATGTCCAAATGCAACAAGATCGGGACAATTTCCATGCTAGGGTTGACAGATGGCAAGTAACATTCATACCACACAAATATCAGGCAATGACCATCACCAATAAGAGACAACCTAGTCACTGCCCCTTGATATTCAATGGTGTTACCATCACTGAATCCTCCGCTGTCAACAGCCTGGGTGTTACCATTGACCAGAAACTCAACTGAACTCACCACATAAGCACAATGGCTATAAGAACAGGTTAGACGCTAGGAATACTATGGTGAGTAATGCACCTCCTGACTCCCCAAAGCCTGTTCAGCATCTACAAGGCATAAGTAGGGAGTGTTGGAGATTGTAAGGACTGCAGGTGCTAGAAGCTACCGTCAATAAATGTGGAGCTTGAAAAGCACAGCAGATCACATAGCATCCAAGGAGCAGGAAAGTCAACATTTTGGGCCTGACAAAGGATTTCGGCCCAAAACATTGACTTTCTTGCTCCTCAGATGCTGTCCGTCACGCTGTGCTTTTCCACCTGCACATTTTATTGACACAAGTCAGGGATGTGATGAAATACTCCCCAGTTGTCTGGATGAGTGCAGCCCCAACAACACTCAAGAAGTTTGACACCATACAGGACAAAGCAGCCTGCTTGATTAGCACTACATCCACAAGCGTCCACTCCCTCCATCACTAATGCTCAGTAGAAGCAGTCTGTATTCTCTGCAAGATGCACTGCAGAAATTCACCAAAGATCCTCAGACAGCACCTTCCAAACCCACGACCACTTCCATCTAGAAGGACAAGGGCAGCAGATATATGGGAACACCACAACCTTGAATTTGCTGTCCAAGCCACTCACCATCCTAACTTAGAAATGTATCACCCTTCCTTCAGTGGTGGTGTGTCAAAATCCTAGAATTCCCTCCCTAATGGCATCGTGGATCAACGCACAGCAGCTAAACTGCAAAGTTTCAAGAAGGCAGCTTAACACCACCTTCTGAAGGCCAACTAGGGACTGGCATTAATTGCTGGCCACCAGCGACGACCACATCTCACAAACGAATAAATAAAAAATAAATGGATTTGGAGGGGTAAGAAAAGCACTCTGTCCCCTGCAGTGCCCACCTCTCCCTAAAGGCATCAAGAGCATTGGTGCATACATTGGTGCTCCCTCTTCAAGGACACCTGGGCTCGAATGTAACTATGGAAGGGGGGCAGGCAGCCAGCAGAAATGACCCTCTCCACAGTTTGCCACCTGGACCCATTTATTGCCAGCCTAGCGAGGCTCAGGGTCAGACCTGCAAGGAGGTGCTCCGATCTGCCCACACCTCTCTGTACCAGGTGCCTAAAGACTAGGAGTCAGGGCTGAAGTGCAACCAAAATCACAACAGAAGGTTTTTTCAAAAGAAGGAAGTGCAAACGCCCACAACCAATATATACATGGTCCATGGAGTCCACAGCACCGCAGAATAAACAGTTCGTCTGGGAGTCTGTGAACTGCCACAATCTACAGTTTTGATTAAACATTGTATGACTTGGAAAAGAAATAGAAAAATAATTAGACTTGTGTAAAGGTTGGACAGGCTAGCCCACTTTATTTTTGAAAGCAAAAGTAGAGGAGTGATCTAATAAGATAACACAGTGTGAAGCTGGAGGAACACAGCAGGCCGGGCAGCATCAGAGGAGCAGGAAACTGACGTTTCGGGTTGGGACGCTTCTTCAGTGATCTAATAGTTGTCTTCAATGTTATGAAGATGTTTGGTAAAGTAATACAGATGGAAAGTTAGAGGGTTAGGAGGTGGCTCGTGAAACGTAAGAACATTGATGGACTATTTAAGCCAAAAATCCCCTTTCTATACATTTTATGTTGTAAACATGTTCTGTTTGCCATTTTCGTAGGGAGTAAACAAGGATTGCTTTAAAACATTTGCCCTGTCATCTCACATCAGTTCAAAAAGCCCCAGAAATATTCATACAAAAAAATCCTGATTTGTCCTTTTCATCAAGTGCTTCTCTTGAAGCATTATAACACTCTGCCTATGACCTAGCCTATTACAGGAGATTTCCTTCAGGAAATGTACCAGCATCAGGACCTGAGCAGACTGCCAATTTTTGGATTTGTTTCAAAATACAAATTAGAATATGAGGTCTTTTAAAAATTGTCACCCCTGCTCCACTATTATTCTTTTAATCTGGAAAAGACATTTGATTGAAAAATGTTTTAATCAAAGTCGGTATTCTAAATTAGACCTGAATCTACAAAACAAAATGCACTAACTTTTTTCTTAATTTCATTGACTTAAACTTAAGGATATGTCTTGATAAAGGTTTCTGAATGGAAATGATCTATCATAGATTTGAATTAATTTAAAAAATTAGTTCCATTTGAGACATTTTTTGCATTTTATATCAATTTATAAATATTGATTCATCCTCAAATATTCCTATCTTGTTGTGCTTTACTATTCTGTGAACCCCTGATATTTATGGAATAGTGGTCATCTGGATCTAATCTGTGTCGCAACATATCAGGACTTGAATGTTTAAGGCCACTGGCCTACTCCAATGTGTTATTACAAACTTAATTCTGAAGATGAGATACAGTATCAATGTCAATGTAATAGGATGAATATTAACCATGTTAGTTCTGCAGGTCATGATCTCAGCCTCAAACTGACTTCTGAAATACTGTTTCCAGACTGAACAACATATACTAGTTTTCATTTGAACCTCTGAGTAACACTCTGGATTAATAAATTGAAATCAATTGCCATGAATAATCAAAAATTCCATTATTGTTCTCTAGTGGTTCTATCAGTTCAATGGATAGTGAATTAAATAGAGCCTGGTCTACTCTTCCTCAAGCAATTCCTTTCTTTGAATAAAGCAATCAAATAAACCAGTTCTTCCCAGAGTCAGACACCTTCTGGCATTTGTTGCGCTTTGATGAGGTGGATTTCTGATTGAAAAATAAAAATAAAAGAATGCAACAGACAAAATGAACAAAAAATATGATACCATAATCTCATGCTATGAATCCCTCTTTCTGCAGTGGTAACATGCTAGCTACCACCAGTGGAGACAAAACAGTGAAGATTTGGGATTTTACAAAAGTTGAATGTGCATCCACATTTACTGGCCATCTTCATGCTGTCTGGGGCTGTTCGTGGCACAGCTGTGGTGACTTTGTAGCATCTTGTTCCATGGATAACACTATTAAGATCTGGGATATTAACAGGTAAGGAATTTGTTTTTGTGTGTACAAAAACAAAGTTGCTGGAAAAGCTCAGCAGGTCTGGCAGCATCTGTGAAGGAGAAAATAGAGTTAACGTTTCGGGTCCGGTGACCCTTCCTCAGAACTAGGGACTCAGAACCAGTTCTGAGGAAGGGTCACCTGACCCAAAACGTTAAATCTGTTTTCCCCTTCACAGATGCTGCCAGATCTGCTGAGCTTTTCCAGCAACTTTGTTTTTGTTCCTGATTTACAGCATCCGCAGTTCTTTTAGTTTTTGTTTTTGTGTGTAGTTCAGTTTTCACATAGCATGTTACTTTCCACTAACAAATATAAGTAATCACTCAATGATTTTGCAGGATAGCTCTTAGCATCAGTAACTCAGCTTACACTTGGTCTCGGTGTCTGCTATTATCTCGATCTTGCAAAAGTATGCATTAAACTTCATTGTCTCAGTATGAAAAACAGCAAAGAAAATTGTGGCAAGGCATTGTTTTTTGAAGGCTTCAAATGAATATTTGTGGAGGACTGAAATTTTGCTGTTGTGGTTCATATGCATCTCTCTTGTCGTAACTGACTTGCAAATAAGTCAGATTATTCATCATAGAATCATGGGGTAGAATTTTTCAGAAAATGGCATTTCCCACCTCACCACCGGAGAGTCAGCAAGGAACACACCTATGCCAAAACTAGCTGTCCCATAGCCATTTAATGCCCTAAAGTGGCATTAAATGCCCTACTTGGCTGGACATGGGATTTCTGCCCCTCACTCAGGAATTGTCCTGTCTCAGAGAACAGGGGTCAATCAGATTGGCCATCAGCTTTCTAGTCTCCACAGGGCCAATAGTAGTATTGGCCAGATCCAGATGCCCAGAAGACAGGACCCCCATAAGTCAAGCCAGTTGTAATCTCTCCCATTTAGTCTTTCTTTTTGAAGCTTTCCTAATTATGTACAGGAATGTTACTCCATGGGTCCACAGTGAACTCTGCCAAACAGTCACTGAATTTATATCTGCAGTCATCTCTTAACTGCAGCAGTCCTCTTTTAAAATACACACAGTGGAGTTAAAAGTTCATTATATTTATAAGTAAGGTTCTGATCCATTGTCATGATACGTTGGACACTTCTATCGAATCTTTATTCAACCTTCTCTTCTCAAAGAAGCGTAACCTCAGTATCTGTAATCTACCCATATAGATGAAGTCTCCAATATCTTCACATCCTTCCTAAAGTATTGTGCTCAACATTGAATACAATACTGCAGCTGAGGTCAAACCAGTGTTGTAATTCCTGGGTGTGCTGTTTTTCACATCGTAAGAACTTCCTTTGCTAATCAGAAAGAGAATGGTGGTAGAGAAGGATAGTATAAATCAGTCAATGTTAATTAAATTCTGATACCTCATCATCTTTATTCACTGTGTAACAAAATTATTCCTTCTGAAAAGTGACCGAGAAGTTCAACTTTTAGTTCAAGCCTACTCTTGTGGTTTTGGTGCTGGTGGGCAGAACTTTGTTCCCAGAGTGGAGGTCTCAGAGATTGACTGGAATGTTATCAAGGCCCCGAGTCACCTCTTTCGTGAGCCCCTGCCGTCATCACAAGCCAATCAGATACTTGTTAGGCCACTGACAGTTGAAGGATTCCAGGCCTACTAGCCAATCAGAGACCAGCAACTCTTTTGAACTGCAGTGCCAGTAGAGAGGGTTAGCTGCTGCTGGAATGACATCAACTGAGTTCCCTGACCCAGACCACAGGTGGGTGACGGTGGGATGCTGTTCATGGATTTGGAGTCACAGGGGAAGAAGTTGTACAGGGGTGATCAGCAAAGTCAGGATGGCTTTCAGTATGGCCCTCCCTTGTCCATTGCTTTGTCCTTCATTCAACTGAGGATCTTTGAATGCGGAGCCCCTAGGAGCCACCAGACATACATGCCAAAGTTTTCTTGTCATATAGTGAGCCCTCCAACTGCCACTAGATTAATGCTAGTAGAGGCTGCATAAGGGCCTTAACTGAACGTTAATTTTTTCACTTAAGGGCTTTAAATGGTGGTGGGTTGGCAAAACCACCCATGGGCCTTCCCACCATTTACTTATTTGGAGTGAATATGGGATGGTGATGGATTCCCCACCAACAACCATATGCCTGATTGAATGGCCTCATTCCACCAAACACGTCAAGGAGGAGGGCACAAGATTTGATCTAGTGTGTGCAGTAGTTTTATCAGCGCTAGTTTGTGTTTGTATATTGACAATAAATGGAAAGGGGTTCCATGAGATTATGTACCGGAATGGACAGGTTTACTTGATCTATATTCAATTTGCACGAGAAAATTTCTAACAAAATACAGTGGCAAATAAATAAACATTTTTTCCTGATTTAAAATTTATGATTGTCTCGGACATTAACAACAGCATTGTGGACTTAAGTGAATGGTGAGTAGCAGAAGCCATCAATGAGTAAGCAAAGATACTTCATGGTTCACAATTCATATATACTGGGGACAAGAAAATGCATTCATGAAATATCTCCAAAAATGAACGAACTGACTACTCTAAAACAGAAGAAAAGCTAACATCAATACTTGATCCAGTGAGAATGAAATCCTTTTTAAGATGTACCTACTAGAGAAGGTGCAAAACTTGACCTACTCTCAGGAAATAAGGCAGGGCAGGTGACTGAGGTGTCAATGGGGGAGCACTTTGGGGCCAGTGACCATAATTCTATGAGTTTTAACATAGTGATGGAAAATGGTGAACTGGATCTAAAACTTAAAGTTCTAAATTGGTGGAAGGCCAATTTTGTCGTTATTAGGCAAGAACTTTCAAAAGTTGACTGGGAGTGGATATTTGCAGGTAAAGGGATAGCTGAAAAATAGGAAGCCTTCAAAATGGGATAACAAGAATCCAGAGACTGTCTGTTCCTGTTAGGGTGAAGGGCAAGGCTGGTAGGTGAAGGGAATGCTGGGTGACTAGAGAAATTGAGGTTTTGGTCAAGAATAAGAAGGAAGCGTGTGTCAGGTATTGACAGCAGGGATCGAGTGAATCCCTAGAAGAGTGCAAAGGCAGTAAGAGTTTGCTTAAGAGGGAAATCAGGAGAGCAAAAAGGGAACATGAGGTAGCTTTGGCAAATAGATTAATGAGAATCCCAAGGGATTCTACAAATACAAATTCTACAAATATTAAGGGCAAAAGAGGAACAACGAAAAGAATAGGGTCCTTTACAAATCAGCAAGGCTATCTTTGTGTGGAACTGCAGGAGATGGAGGAGATAATAAAGAAGTATTTTGCATCAGTGTTCACTGTGGAGAAGGATATGGAAGATAGAGAACATGGGCAAATAAATAGAGACATCTTGGAAAAATGTCCATAATACAGAGGAGGAGGTGCTGGACATCTTAAAAAGGTGTAAAGGTGGATAAATCCCCAGGACCTGATCAGGTGTACCCTAGAACTCTGTGGGAAGCTAGGGAAATGATTGCTGGGCCCCTTGCAGAGATATTTGTGTTATCAGTAGCCACAGGTGATGTGCCTGAAGACTGGAGGTTGGCTAACATGGTGCCACTATTTAAGAAAGATGGCAAGGAGAAGCCAGGGAACAATAAACCAGTGAGCCTGACGTCAGTGGTGTGCAAGTTGTTGGAGGGAATCCTGAGGAACAGGATTTACATGTATTTGGAAATGCAAGGACTGATTAGTGATAGTCAACATGGCTTTTTGCATGGGAAATCGTGTCTCACTAAATTGATTGAGTTTTTTGAAGAAGTAATGAAGAGGATTGATGAGGGCTGAGTGGTGGATGTGATCTATATGGACTTCAGTAAGGCATTTGACAAGGTTCTTCGTGGTAGACTGATTAGCAAGGTTAGATAACCTGGAATACAGGCAGAACTAGCCATCTGGATGTAGAACTGGCTTGAAGGTAGAAGACAGAGGGTGGCGGTGGAGGGTTCCTTTCAGACTGGAGGCCTGTGATCCAGTGGTGTGCCACAAGGATCGGTGCTGGATCCAGTGCTTTTTGTCATTTATATAAATGACTTGGATGTGAAAACAGGAGATATTGTTAGTAAGTTAGCAGGTGACACCAAAATTGGAGGTGTAGTTGACAGCGAAGAAGGTTACCTCAGAGTTTGGTGGGACCTTGATCAGACAGGCCAATGGGCCAAGGAGTTGCAGATGGAGTTTAAATTGGATACATGTGAGATGCTGCATTTTGGAAAGGCAAATCAGGGCAGGACTTATACACTTAGTGGTAAGGTCCTGGGGAGTGTTGCTGAACAAAGAGACCATAGAGTGTAGTTTCATAGTTCCTTGAATGTGGAGTCCCAGGTAGGTGGGATGGTGAGGAAGGGTTTGGTATGCTTGTCTTTATTGGTCAGTGTGCATTGAGTATAGGGGTTGGGAGGTCATGTGGCGGCTGTACAGGACATTGAACAAAGAACAAACAAAGAACAGGGAACAAAACAGCACAGGAACAGGCCCTTTTGCCCTCCAAGCCTGCTCTAACACATTTTGCTCTTCCATGTTAAAATTGTCTTCACTTACAGGATCCGTATCCCTCTATTCCCTTCCTATTCATGTATTCATCCAGGTGCTTCTTGAATACTGCTATTGTGTCCACTTCCAACACCACCTCTGACAACGTGTTCCAGGCACTGACTACCCTTTGTGTGAAAAACTTGCCTCACACATCTCTTTTAAACTTCCCCCCTCACACTTTGAACCTGCGTCCCCTCGTAATTTATCCCTCCACCCAGGGAAAAAACCTCATACTTTCCATTCTATCCATTCCATTCACAATCTTATAAACTTCTATTAGGTCGCCCCTCAATCTCCTGCATTCCAGTGAAAACAAACCCAGTCCAGCCAACCTTTCTTCATAGCTAAAATCCCCCATACCAGGCAACATCCTGGTAAACCTTTTCTGTACCCTCTCCAAAGCATCCACATCCTTCTGGTAGTTTGGTGACCAGAACTGTACGCAATATTCCAAGTGTGGCCTAACTAAAGT